TATTAATTTGATGGGAGACTACTTCTGTATTGCTATAATTGAGGATCTGGAAGAATTTTTACTGTGGAGAAAGTTTTTCACAGTGGTTGATCAAAGATAAGGTCTTTATCATGTTGAACTAGATGAAGAATCGGAAAAGATATGCACTATTGTTTGATTAAATAAATTTTTTCTACAAACGTCAAAAAATGACAAGGTTCGCGCATTGATAACAAATTGCGAAGTGACACTTTTTTTCAGTTTCCTACGTTACCATGATACCTTGCACATAACAATGCGCGAAGTAAAACAGTGCGCGAAGTACCTACTTCGCGCATTGTTATGTAAAATATATGAGATATTTATATTTCAACTTCATGGTCCCCAATCGAGCGAACATCCACGAAATCATTTATTTCTTAATTTTCAACAATAACTTTGTTTTATCTCTTGGAGCGCACGAAAGGAGATTCCTATTATGTTCGTGGAACATCGTGCGTACCTAGGGAGGACAGGGGGAGGCATTCCAAGCCAGTTCAACACTATTTTTCATATCAAGCTGAGCATATTTTTACTTTAGAACTATATTTTTTGACGTTTGTAGAAAAAATTTTGTTTGCAACTCGAGCGCGAAATACTTTGGTCATCTCGAATATTTTTTTAACTCGCCTACGCCTCGTTAAAAAAATCAGATCTCGATCACCAAAGTAGCATTTCGCGCTCTAGATACAAAAATAACTATTATTCGTTCACCCTTTGGTGTATGTGTAGCTCTCAGAAATGAATTCGAAATATCTCTCTTATATAGAAAATGTTTTCATTTATTTCGATAATAAATCGATCACAGGTGGAAACATTTCGGAGGATGATAAGACAAAACAAAAATAGGGCTAGAGACAAAGAGCAAAATCACTATCCTCGATACCATTCACCACAGTTCTAAGATGTATTCACAGGATAACCAATTCGAAAAAAATTAGAGGTAGAAATATCCGTGGCATATAATTGACCCCACCAGAAGTAGAAATGGACAAAGTGGAAGTCATCCAAATAAAATTATCTTGCCTGAGCCCAAGAAACAAGACTTAACCAAAATGCATCTGCCCACAGTTTTCATTCACGAGAATATGGTAAAAAGTTACCAATCACCTAGAGTCAAGACTTCGGTAGATCTCCACAACTGCAAGCAGGTGAATTCATATCCTCCGAATGCTACCCAGACAGGAATCACTTGTTACACCACTTGATAACCAACCACCAATTGATAACGACTTCACTAACAAAAAGGGTCGGGGTATTCAACGATCTAAAGGTGCGCTAAAATATTATCTGGCGCTCATGTTGACCCCAGGTGAGCATGTCATTCGTCTAGAATCCAAGAGAGTTTGCCATCAGGTAGTTTGTCACATCTTGCCCACCGATCTCTTCGACCAGCCAAAGGAAGGAGGGAAAGATCCCTAAGGGATTTACCATAGCCATATTTACAGGCCAGCGGAATCACTTAGGTGAAACTACCGCTTGAGGTGACTTACAGGGAATATTCCCTGCTCCACTCCTTTGTCAGGATTTAAGAAAAAGTAGGTGTCATGAAAAATGCATTTTTTTCACATGGTACGGCCCTTTGAACAGCGGCAAAAACTTCATGGTGGCGGCTTTGAACACAGACGACACCGGACTGGCTCTCAGGAGTACTGGATCCCCAGGTTGAAACTTACATACCGTTTCAACGAGCTTCAGCCGGCTTGGCAGGCGGCCCGGTTCTGCAAGGCCTTCTGGGCCCAAATATTTTTCACTTCGGTGAAGGCTATCTGTGGGTTGGGATGATAGGCGCTCGATACTGGTCACCAAGTAGAGCTTGCGACGGTGCTACGCCGATATGAAGTTCTACTGGACCGAGTTCCGTAACCTCATGTATCAGATGGTTGAGGAATTCTGCGAGACGGGGCAACTCGCCCACCGAGTATGCTGCTTGGCATGATAGGTCCAACATAACCGACCAATCTCTCTCATGGTACGCAAATTTGGATTTGACTGGAGAGTGGAGGCGGCGGATGGAAGACAACACCACCTACATTCCCAACGCGATTGAAGATTCTTCCCGCCCATTTGAGAGTATTGAACTGCAGTTCAAAATGGCACGGATCGCGGTTTTCTTCAGAGCGTAATAGGTAACGAACTTAGTGAATACGTCAAGTACGACACTAATACACTTCCGCGACTAAGGGGCAGTGAGCTACAAAAGTCTAACACTACCAAATCCCCTTTGCCTTTCAAAACGTATACCGCTCGAAATGACCCAGCTGTTCATGAAATGCTTTTAAGAATATAGATGCTGAGCTTTTCGGTATGTACACCGGATAATAAATATCTGGACCACTATTTATATAGAGCAACCCTGCATGCTCCGGAAAAGTTATTGGAAGTAATCATCCTTCGACAACTTGGCCAGAACATTATCTGATTCCGTGTCCGATCTTTCTCGCTCAGAGAAATCTTCAAATAGGGACTACAACTTCACGGAATACTGAATCATGGATAAAATTTCAGATTCCTTGCTGCTAGGCGACGACAGAGGAGGTAAGGTGAACCAAGACGACGAATCGGCAACTACATTTTTTGAACCTGGTAGGTGCTCTGAGATGAAATCGTACTCCTGCAATGTCAAGGTGTAGCAGGAAACCTGAGCTGATAAGAGTCTGCAGGTCTTCAGTTAGGTCACGGAACTATTGTCCGTGCATATTCTGATCTCCTTTCCGAATAGAAATATTTGAAACCGTTCAAGCGCCTACCATACTGTCAACGCTTTCAGCTCATTAATAGTATACTTCGTCTCTCGATCCAACAACCTTAACAAACTGAAACTGGTGAGCGACAAGAGCCACTTCGAATCTGTCTGCCTGCAGACAAAACGACAGATCATCGAGAGCTGATGCAGTGAAGTATTCTCACAAATAAGTCCCAGAAATTAATTGCCGATAATAATCCTTCCAGTTCATATGAATTGAAGATATCTCCTGCTTGGAACTGAAGGATTATAACAAGTAGTCCACACTATTCGAAATCCATTAGACTTGCTTAAAAGCAGTAGAAATCTCAAAAATTATTATTTCTCTAGATGACATTGAAAGTGGCTATTTAAGAAACTGAAATGTGTACTTTCACTGCCCAAGCAGAAGAAGTTTGTTGCGCGTTTCAAATAATGATTTGATTCAAATTGGTAAACAAAATTGACAATGACTTTGGGTGAACACAAAATGATGGATACTCATATGTTCCACATTGTAGTCAGGAACATTCAATCATTGTGCATTCTGAGAGAAGACCAGAGTTCAGTGTGAGGGATAACGTGATGATAAGAGAAGAAAAACTGTGGGAATCTGGAAAAGTGGTAGAGTTGCATGATACGCCAATATCATAATTAGTAATGAATTATGTTCATCAAAGGATCGTGAGTAATTGAGAGCACTATAAGAGAGGATGGAATTGATGAAGAACTGGAAACTTCCACAAACTCAGATATCGATCATTTTTATATTTGATATTATTTAGAAAAGAACCAGGTCCAATCTGAGTATTCTGAGAATGTGAGGCCTGCAAGATAAATATGTGGTTCAAGTAGAACAAGAAGTGAACGAGTGGTACGATTACCACAAGAATTCATATCCAATGATTTGCATTGGTGTTTGATGACATTTTTGATAAGCTTTCCGAGGATGTCAAATATGTTAATTCATCATCATTTTGTAGATGTGAACCGCAATTGGATTATAATCTGAATATGCTGATGACGAATATTGCAAGATAAAATTCTAACAAAGATGAGAATATTTTTTTGTTTGTCAAGAAAAACAACGGTGTAGGCGATCAAGGTTTCATCTAGAAACCGTGGAAAATGCACTTCACCAATGAAAATGATTCGAAACTGATTAATAAACAGGGTGCCATGGAAATAAATAAATATTATACCAACACTAACAAACATCAAGGTACACTATTTGAATGACATCATTAAAAATATATTATTGCGAATGAGATTTGGAAGAAGAATCCTTTTTCCGCCTGAAGTTCTATACTGTGGAACTCCTGACGTCATCTCCTCAAAAAATTCCGTGCGTAAGGCTCAGTCACGCGAGTTTGAATCATTTCAATTGCCGTGAAGTAGCGTTCTCTATATTTTCACCATATTCTTGAACTACCAAGATCTAGTTTGTCGTTAACTATTGAACTAGAAGAAATCTGGAATTCTGGCAACATTTGTTAGATGTCATATTCAAGTGTTCAATTGTTGTAAGATCTAGTTTGTCGTTAACTATTGAACTAGAAGAAATCTGGAATTCTGGCAACATTTGTTAGATGTCATATTCAAGTGTTCAATTGTTGTAATATCCTCTTATTGAAATCAACTCGTATTTCACTACAGTGAATCTTCTGGATTCGGTTTCTGATGTCAGTTTTTCAATGATATTTATAAAAGGTCCTTTCATCTTCCTGATTCAATCTGAATCGGGCCAGATGAAAAATATGACTTTTTTAAATATCGCTACTACGAAGCAACTCCTAAAAAGTGAGAACTAGTTCCTTGTGCGCGGGACCTACAGATTATAGTGAATCCGATATACTTGCTATGACTGCCGAGATTTCGCAAATAGAGGATCTAATTTTGGCAGATTCATGGCACTATAAACTCAATAATCTGAATCGGCAGAATTCAGATGATAACTCATTCGTCATTTCTTCCAAATCCTAGAAAATGTTGTTCAGATGCCAACCACTTTCTCCAGTCGAACAAATGATGATTTTATCGTAGGCCACCAAGTAAAATATACCTTTATGAGCTATTGAGCAATGTTACGATAAATCACCATTCAAACTATTTGTTATCAGCGGAATGATCTAGCATTGCTAAACGCTTATTTACAATTCAGTTATTTTTCCCCTGTTTTCGAAATTGCCTGAACAATAACTATTTTATCATCGAACGCTGAACCATTGGGTATAGAAATGAATTTTTTTGTTCATAGTTGACGATACAAATTCACAATGGCCCACCATCAACATCACAACTTCGAAGTAGACGGAGTGGACGATGACGAGGTGCCGAGAAACAAATGCAGGACATGTTTGAAACAGAATACACTGACAATAGCCACTGTTGTGGGTGTGATCATGGGTGCCATATTAGGAATAATTCTGAAATCAACGAAAGACAAATGGTCAGAACGAGAAATCATGTACATAGGGTAAGCATTTTTAAATGAATTATTCAATCTAGATATAATTTTGAAAGTCGTCTCCACAATTATTAATTTTAAAAGGGATGATTCAGGACATTGGTTGAATTCCAATGATTTAACAATATATTTGAACTCTACTAGATCAGCCCAAGCGTTACCGTTTTATACAAAGCATTGAAATTCACGTGAAAAAGATGGAGTGCCATCGATATGACTGCATGTGCAACGGAAATAAATATATATTGCTTTAACTTTGATATGTAATTTGAAACTTTTTGAAACTTTTTGAAACTTAATTTCGATACCAGTTACGAAACAAAAATATGGATGGAAGGAGATGATAGTACATTTTGTGATGCATACTCGGATCAGCTATTTTCCACTAATGAAATCATCAAACAAGTATATTTCGTGAATTTCGTCACTGATTTCTGTCCACATTATTGTTTGACTAATACTTCAAAGTGATGGGTAAGTGAAGTAAGTTAACTTGCCTACTCAATTCTGTAAATAATCGGTAAAACTCTTGTAGAAATGGTCAGTTTTCAAGAAGAATTTTCCATCAGAATTAGAAAAAAAAAATGTACGTTACTCGTTAGGCAACATATTTTGTGTAACTCTGTGGTTTGCGGGACGACGAAATTCCATCGTCACGCAAAATGACGCGATTCATAACTGCTTACGTCAATATCTATTACCCAACCATCAGCTGGTATCTCCTCGTCGCCTTTCTCTCTCTCTCTCTCTCTCTCTCTCGCTCTTTCTTTTTCTCTCTCTCTCGTTTGTCAAATTTATTGGTTGGTCCTTCACATCTTCCATTGGGCGCGCGACAACTGTTCGATTTGAAATTTCAACGAATAAAATTATTTGTTGTTATCCGAATAAAATGAAAATCTGAGTCTTCCTGCTCATACTCATAGAGTGGCAAACTTTGGTCACCCAAGTCTTCCAGTACACGAAATCAAAAAAAGAATTGAAATTTGATGATAATAACTTGCAAGATCACATGTACCAGCCAGACGAACTCGATAGGCACAGTCAGCACATCCTTCCGATATCAACCTTTGAATGTATCAATACTTGTTTCTCTATAGAATGGGAATGCTCTGGAATTCATTACCTGAAGAAGTTTTTCCAAGAACTTATAATCTCCAAGAGTTCCAAAAATAATTTCACTCAAACAAAAATTAGCATGGCGGCGAAATTTGTTCCCAAGCATCAGCTGATTTCGTTGCACCTCGATTCCCATTTCATCGCCGTCGTCAATTCCTTTCTCTTCAGACTATATAAAGGAGTTTGATTATATCATTAGATCATTAATGAACTCACATACATAATTTCCAATTTATCATCAGCCTTTGATATCGAAGATAGAAAATTCCGAAACTTTTTTTAATCATAAATTATGCTGATATGTCAACATTCATTTCAGTCGGAGATAGACCCGAAATTGAAAAACGGATTCATTCACAAAATCTGAAACCACCTTCCAGAAAGATGAAAGATACTTTTCTATAGTTTTGGGATTGCCTCTCCTTAATGACATTCATACAGTGCATTCGTGGGGTACTGAATACATAAATTCTCAGCAAGAATTTCAGAATAGTGGGTGATCCACTTTTGAGTAATTACCACTGCGAAAATTTTTCTAAATGAAATACCCTATAGAGCGTGTCTCAATTGAAACGGCCCCTTTCTATATCTCAGCTATCAGTCGTGCAATATTCGAATCCAGATCGGTATAAATAACCATCAATATGATGGTTTTACAAAGACGAACATCATTTTAAAAAGTGCGTGCGTTTTCATTCATATGAAAAGGGGTCAACTGTCCTCATGATAATGTTGTTGATTTCAAACCCCCATTGGTGAATTTTCATATGATTCGAATCAAGGGTTTCAAGAAAACAGGCACATTTAAACATTTACGTGATTTTCTGCATGTGGAGGTATAAAAGCATGGAGAACAATAATATGAAGTAAGTTTGTTTGAAAAAAGTTTCTTATGCAAATTAATAAAAATCGACCCCTTTTTATTTCAATGAAAAATCATGGCACTGCCCAAAAAGATGTTCGTCCCTGAAAACTGATCATGACGATGATCATTCAAAAAGCACATCAGGTGTTTTGTTGAGGACAGTTCAAAATATCTATCCTTCGGAAGATGATAACGAAGAGGATCAACACACAACAACAGAAGTGTCCAAGCTTGATGCTTAATAGAACTCAAACAAAACAACAAACAATAATTATAGAGTAACCAAGTGTCCCAAAAGGCATGGAATTGAAATTTTTTTCTCGAGTTGGGAGGATGTGCTGGATTGCTGAGATTTGTTAACAACATTGATTTTATTTCCATTTTCATTGCCTTCCATAATCGTGGAATGGAGAATTTGGGAGTTGTCAGTTTCTAGATGGACTGTTAATATTATTATTATCTAAAATTCAACAAAATAATATACTTCGGAAGCGAATTGTATTCTCTCGTCATTCCTCATTTCCTGAACGTATGGGGTACTAGGAAGGTGTTCCATATGCGTAATAGTGGGAGTATTGAATGAATAGAATTTTGTCTATCAAATCTGCTCCCGAATTTAACATTGAAACATAAAATAATTAACTTCTTCAAGTGACAATTTATCTTGAATTCACAATTTCCATAATCTATAATTTTAGAAGTAAATACCATCCTATCTATATCAACTGAACATCAAGCAATATTATTATATCCATTCAGAAAAATGCGAACAGATCTTTTGATTATTCTTTTTCATTCATCTTCTCTCCCTATGAGGTTTCACAATCATTCCACCCCGACAAATAATGTTGTCCATTTCCATTGTAGATGTGCCTTACAAGATCATATATAAAATCTATTGTAAACAACAACTATCCTCCATCATATATTCTCAATTCGACATATGCATTTCCAATCAACAGATTATCATCTTGGACGACGAGAAAGCTATACAAGGTTATTCAGTGGTAAGAGTCACGATATTAGGGTATTTTGCCGACCGAGGACTTTCACTATGTCATGACATGGGGATGTTATTTTACCCATATCGGTTGATCAGGGGTATGCTTGGCTTGAAGGAGGTAATATTTTGATAGGCACTGACAATTTAGGAGTAGCTGGATATTCGAGACTATATTCAAACATGACACTATTTATTGAAGCATGAAACAGTGTGGGTAGTGATGATAAATAAACATGAACGACAATAGATATAAAGACCTTGAAACAACTCACATTATAAAGACAATATTGACGAGTTCTTGTCAAGTCAAGATCATCCCCTGATCGGACTAACTTCGAAACCCTCCCATATTCTTATATATAATTTTATTAGATTTGCAAATTTCCTATGAGAGTTCCTTGGTCAATTTCCATATTTTGATGTTGACTAATGATTCGATCAAATTCATGTTCATAAAACCCTCATGGTTCGAAGTTATTCATATACCGAATGTTCTACTCATGGCATGACTACCATCTCCGAAGAAGCTGGATGCTGGATCCCAGCTTTGCGAATGATTACTTACCTGAAAATATCGAGAAAAGCATAAACACTATATATACATCAGAACCAGAAGCAAGAAACAACGAATCTTGAAATTTGAGTTCACACACATACCAGATTCAGTGTCTATGCACATTCACACTTTTACATAGTCCGGCACTGGCACTTCAACGGGATAATTGTTATCAGACTCTTCTCTGTGGGACTTCTTGCAGCTTAAGGTAGAAAATGAAGACTGAGAATGGCATCCTTCAATTGTCATGGGAATTTTGGCACGGTCTTTTTGGGTTCGAAAGTTTATTGGGCTTTTGTTTAGGGCTGGTACTTTGAAGTCGGCATCTTTTGAGCTTTCAGATATCCTGCCTCATGATATTGTTATGTTCTTGGGGAAATCTTCAAGGCTTCAGGATTTCTTAGACTATATTCTACAACTAAACTAAACTGACTTCTTGTCGTCATGAGAATTTTAGCAGTATTCTATTTGGACTCGAAACGTATCCTCGCCCTGGACGTGAGGGTGGAATATTTTGGGCTATGAGATTTCCTTCACGGTAGTTGGCAGCTGAACGAGAGAAAATGCGGCTGTTGAGGGTTGCTTTGATAACGATTCGTCTAGATACCTATGTCCATGGGAGGCAACGAGGAATTCCCGTCATCTAAGAGGCTGATCAGGCATCTCGTGGAACACATTTTGCGGTATTCCATCGTCGAACTTCCAGTGGCTATCCACAACTTGTGGCATTCCTACTCTTTTCCTGTTCGTTTTCAGACTACCCAGCAGATACCGTCGAATCATGTTGTGAAGTCAAACAGTCCTTGGTTTGTCCATGTTTGGCCTTTCGGCTTCGTGGCTGCATCCCCCTGGATGTCTGATATGTTGATGCCTGTTGTCTGCTAGTGCTCAGTGTTCATTAGTATGCGGTGACGAGACCGCATACATGTGAAAAGAAAATATATCTACTAACTAACCATATTAACAATGGGATATACCGGGTGGCTACGGAAGCATTGCCTACGGAATATCTCAGTTATTGTATGAAGTAGGTTTGTGGAATTTGGAGCGTCGATATGATGACATAAGAGCTAGAATTTGAGCATATTGACATGTCGAAGTTAACTTCCGGTCTGACCGGAAGTAACATTAACTTTCTTATTTTGAATGGGAACCCTATTTTTTTTTCTTTTCGGTTTATTCAGCATTCAATTTACTTTCTAATGACATATCACAAGTTGGTATCTAACCAGAAACTAGATCAGAAAAAAATTATTATTGAAATTCACCGAGTAGGCCGTGGAAGCAAAATGAAAGCCAAAAAATGACATTCTATTATATCATTAGAAAGGAATGGTTATGCTGAATAGTACAGGCAAGAAAAAGTTGTATGTTCCTATTTAAGTTATGGACCTACAGAGTATTGTTTTTTTCCCAATTTTTCCAATATTTTTTTTGCGGCTTTTCATAACGCCGACGAATGAAAATGA